AAAACAATTTCCAGAGAAGACAAATTCATTCCTATTTAATTCTGTTTCTATTATTGCTTTCCCTATGTTTCATATGATCTCCTTTTTATAATTAAAGGCATTACCATAATTATACAATTAAGTTTGCTCAATAAGCAAAACCAAGTAGCAGACATAACAAAATATTTTAATTTTTTCATTTTAAAGTAATAGCCTGTTATGTTCAATTTATGTTTCATCAGTAAAGTGATGACAACATTAAGGTTTTTATCAAATGTATTAGAAGGTAATTTCACCAGGGCCAGTGAAAGATACTAAGTGCTTGAAAGCTTATCGTTTCCCCAAATTTTAAAACTTCACTAAATTTTTCTTTCTGGCAATTACATTTTCAAGCCTTTGAATATGAAGGAACTGATAAGAGACCCCAGAAGACATCAACTAGCATTTACCCCAGAAGGAGAGGACCTAACTATGAGTGCTAATAAATGAGTATGTTTGAGAAGGCAAAGGGTCAAGGTACCATCAATTAGAGTATTAAAAAGAAAGGAAAGGAAGTACACAGAGCCAGAGGTGGCAATCCTTAGAAGGGACCACTTCTGAGAGAGAGAAGTTAAAAAAGACGTATCCCTTAGAACTAGCAAATAATGATAAAAATAAAAATGTAACTAATGATAAAAGTATTACTGAAACATGAGAGCAACCAAAAAATCAGAGGAAGCCAAACCAAAAAGAGTACTGAGAAATGGAAAAGCCACCCAAATCCATAGTCCTCTCTATCGATAATGCACTCAATTGCTTTAGCAAAAGTCAACACACTTAAAATAAACAACAGCAACAAAATAAAATCATTAAATCTACAAAAGATGTACATAGAATAAAAACAACATGAGAATCAAAAATTTTAGCACACGTAAGTAGGGAAGATCTATGTTAGAAACAGAAGAAAAAATTTAGACAACTTTGTAATCCAAATAAAATTTTACAGTCTAAGAAGGATTGCAGATTTAAAAGAATAAGAAATCTTATAAAAGAGATGGATTAACAATGAGAATAGTTAAAAACAGAACTAATGGAACTAAAAAAGATACTGAGAAAAAGTACAAAATAATCTCAGGTGATGACTAAGTTACCGTATACTCAGAGACAATAAAGAGACAATAAAATAGATGTGCTTCAAAGTATGGAAAGAAATGTAAAAAGTAAAACCAAGAAAAGCAAGAAATGGAGACATGCATAAAAGAGATGTGAAAGATCATAACAAAAGTTAAAAATATAGCGTTTTTCAAAATGTGCTGTATTTTTATCAACATTAAAGCATTATTTACCTTTTTAATCCTCATTCTTGCATATGTATATCTAACTTCCACAGGCTACATGATCCATGGTGACATCATTGCTCTGATGAGTAATGAAATGTGTTTATGTATATTTTTATGTTTAAACAAAATTTCTCAGTTTTAATTTCTGAATTGGTATATACTGATGGTGGCTCACTCAGTATAGAGTCTTCCTGCAATTCTGGAGACTCAGGTTCAATCCCTTGGTCAGAGGATAACCTGGAGAAGGAAATGGCAACCCACTCTAGTATTCTTGCCTGGAGAATTCCATGGACAGAGGAGCCTGATAGGCTATAGTCCATAGGGTCACAAAGAGTCGGATATGACCGAATGACTAACACTTCACTTCTAAGTACACATAAACAAAAATCTTTGTGCTTCTCAATATATTTTGAGAGTATAAAGGGGTTCTGAGACTAATAATTTAATTTACATATTGAAGAATAAAAACAAAGTGATAGAAGAGAACCTATATTTAAAACTCTAAGTCAAGGAACCTCTTCTGAGTAAAATAAAACTTGCATCTGCATACTGAAAGAGTATAGAGAAACCAAGGACAGTTGACTCCAAACTTCCAGCTCTAAGGAATATACTAAGAATGTGAAAGTCGCTCAGCCATGTCCAACTCTTTGTGACCCCCATGGACTATATAGTCCAGGAATTCATCAGGCCAGAATACTGGAGTGGGTAGCCATTCCCTTCTCCAGTAGATCTTCCTGACCCAAGAACTGAACTGGGGTCTCCTGCATTTGTGGGTGTATTTTCTACCAGCTGAGCTATCAGGGAAGCCATAATAAGGAAAGCCATACTAGCACATACTAAGAACATGTTCTATCTTAATATCAGCTAAAGGAGTGTGTTTTTATTTTATTTTTAATCAGAGGATAGTTACTTTACAGTATTGTGACGGTTTCTGCCATACATCAACATGAATCAGCCATAGGTATACGTATGTGCCCTCCCTCTTAAACCTCCCTCCTACCCCCTCTCCATCCCAGCCCTCTAGGTTGTCACAGAGCACCAGCATTGGGTTCCCTTTGCTAAATGGCAAATCCAGTTATACAGTGAGACTTATGCCTGAGAGTTTGATCCATTTTCCAAAAACAAAATCAACTGTAAGTGAGTGAACTGAGTTCTAGTATCTATCTTGTAGACGACATGGGCAATTTTTTTAGCTTCTTTGCATCTTAGTTTCCTCATCTGTGAGACAAGATAATAATAGCTCCTATTTTATACATATTTTGTGAATTTTAAAGAATTTATATATTTTAAAAATTTAGAAGCATTCAGACATAGAGAAATCACTCAAATGTTCTTTACTGTTATTATCAATATTTAAGCAAATATCCTTAGAATATAGATACACACAGACTTCCGGTCAAAATTTCCTAGTTCCTAGAAAAATTTCCACTCGTGAAAAATTTAACAGGTTATTCTGATAGTCACAATTTTTTGAAATATCATTTCAGTTCCTGTATCTCAAATAATATTTAAGTGTTTCCTTCACTTTTAACCATTAGAATTGATGTTTTCTTTAGTATTCTAAGACTCTTATCCATGTTAAGGAAGTTTCCTTTCATTCTGCAATTAACATGAAATTTTACATAGAAGAAATAAAAATTTTTATCAAATAACATTTAAGATGTCAAAATTATGATGTGATTTTTCTCATTTGCATAAATGGATGCACTAGTAATTGTATTAAGTTTTGATAGCCCTTGATGACCTGATTCTGTGTTCAAATGTTAATACACAACTTTATATGACTTTTTATTACTTACTCTGTCATTTCTCTTGATTCCTTTGAATCTACAGTTGTTTTCAATCCATTTTTGAGGACAATTATTGACATATCCAGAATTAATTCATTAACCTGGATTTAAAATATTCAATGGATACTTATTTTAGAGAATGCTTCTAAAATTTATTTTATACAAGACAACGCAATACCTTCACTCTCTAGAGTTCCTGTACAATTAAAAAGTTTAATATTTCTGGGATCATTTAATTTGGTTTTGACAAGGAAGACAGGCAAAAATTAGTGAAATCATCATCTTATAATTGCAACAGACTTTTGAAAATGAATCAAAACAGTGGCAGATGTATAGAAAGCAAACAAAGACTTCAGAATTTAAGAACTGTCACTTAACTGTAATTTCCTCTCCTAATACCATTGACAGATTTTAGATTTAGTGGTATTCCTGAGTTAAAACAATCTAAAAAATATGGAAAGTGAAAAATATGATCTTGTAAAAGCATAACTAATGTAAACATTCCCAGTTATTAAAATTTATAATTCCTATCAACTAATAAAAATTAACCTCTTTGTTGTTCAGGAAAATATATACATATATATATATATATCAGCTTTTAGAAGTCAGTAACTAAAGGTAATGAAATAATCTAGATTCGATTTGCATTTAAGAATTAAAAAAGATTGGGTATCAGCAAGTATTCAGATTTATTAAGAGTCAAAAATGCTGTTACAGCTCATGTGTACATGGAACATTAGTTATTCATTTTGTTAATCTAACATAATATGGAGTATAATTTTTCAGAACATCAAAATAATAGCTTTTACTCCATTTCCTCACTTCTATAAGGACATGCACAATAGACTCTGCAGCTACATATGCACCCTATTAGGGCTAACTGAAAATAGATGGTACAATTAACCTGCTTCTTAGTAAAAAGCATTAACACTTCATGTGAAAGTCTAATCACAATAAAAAGAAGTTCACATTGGAAGAAAATGTAGTGAATAATTCAAAATCATCTGATTCTCTCATATAAAGCAAATTAAAGAAAAAGTTAATATAACAACACCAAAAGCAGCAATTATATCATTTGCATTTCTAATCATTGCTTTCCTTCTCAGATGCATTCAATTTCAGAAGATTCTATAGATGAATTAACACAATGACTCATAGTATTTAGGTTCAACATAGCAAAACTGAGCAGGTGGTCACAGAACAAAAAAGCAGTAAATGTAACCATTAAAACACAAAGTATGAAAATTATCAGGCAAACTCTTATGTAGGGAAAACCGCCTGGATTATCTGAACAAGTTTCATTAAACACAGATTTTTTTTGATGACACTATAACTCAAAATTCAATAAGCTCTTTAAAGATGTCAAATATATTATTCAGCTACTCTTTTTAATTTTAATTTTGTGTTGAAGTATAGGTGATTTATAAGATTATACTGGTTTCAGATGTACAGCATAGTGACTCAGCATGTTTATTGATTATACTAAATTAAATGTTATTAGAAAACAATGGCTATAATTCACTGTGCTGTATGATACATCCTTGTTATTTATCTATTTTATATATAGTAGTTTGTATTTCTTAATCCCATATCCCTGTCTTGCTTGTCTTTACAGTCAAGCCACCTCAAGATGGCTGTTCTCTTGCTCTGTGTACGTCCCCTGCTGGAGCAGTCCCTTCTTTACCTACACACTACTCACATGACCTGCTTGCCCTGATCCAGCTAGTGATCGTTCTCATCCTTAGGCCAGAAGAGCTCCACTTGCTAGCTTATTAAAGGGAAACCTCTGCCCTCCTGAAGCTCCTTAAACTAAGTGGCCTTGAGAGACAAGTCGCTCCACCTTCTGGTTCCCCTGGTAACTGATGGGCCAACCAGACATCAATTCACTTTATAAAAAGTAGACTCCTCCCCTGAGTAGCAAAGATGGCTGCCATAGCTTGCTGTCTGCTCGCCAGCCTGCCCTACACACGTTGTGGAGTGTCACTCTAGGACATTTTGCTTCAGACATGTAAGATCCCCTATCCAATAAGCCACGGGTGTCTCTGTCATTGTCTCTGGGCTCTTCTGTCTCTAGGCTGGGCAGCTCGAGGCTTGCAGGCCTGCGGGGTGCTGCCTGATCATTGGTGACCTGGCTAGGAAGCTGAGAAAATTTCCATGAGCCCCCAGTATGTCAGGAAATAAAGTTTAAGGGTAACATTTAGGGGGTCACCCACTAACATGGTGGTCCCTGTGACAGCTGACCACCATGAGATATTCTGTCATACTGATGATATCTTCAGAGTCTCTTTCCAGTTTAAAGGTAGTAGACCTATGCTCATGGCTCATTTGACTGCAGTGGGAGAATGGGTGCTGAATACAGACAAAATGCAAGGATCTTTATTATCTATCAAATACTTGGATGTTATCTGATTGGGTAAAATAAACATATCCCTGACCGCACCCCACTCCCCCGCCCCTTAAGTAATTATAGAAACAGGTTTTATTAACTTAGAGACAGGCATGTGAGTTGAACTTGGTCAGTTACCCTGAGGGTTTGGTTTGGGGTCTGTGGCGATGGCAAAACAATGAGTACCCTTGGGTTTCTGGTCCTAGCTACGGAAGAGGCAAGGCAGTGATATAGTGTGATGGAGCGACACAGCTCTAACATGCTGGAGAGTGTAGCTCTGTGCAGTCTACAGCGTGTTACAACAGGTGGAAGACATTACAAAAGACCTACTCAAGTTACTAGCAATGCAAAAACCCAATATTCAGGGTCAGGAACAGATGTGAGGAACATACAGGACCCCCATGGACATCCACAGTAACCAAGGAATACAGTTTACCAGCCATAAAGTTCAGGAGTGTCTGACAAAAGTGACATATGCTGGCATTTCCCCCTGCTCTACAACCAGTCTGCTGCCAGGATAATTGAAAGGACTACTGGGTTACTTAAACAACAACCGAGGCAAAAACTTGTTCTCTCCACAGGTGTAAACATCCCAGGAGCAATCACTGCAGTGGTTACACCACATTAATCCAAAAGTAATAAGTCACCCCAACCCGAATTCAACTGTTTTAGCCCTTGCTGCAGGATCTATCTCCAGAAACACACATGAAATAACCCTGGGGCTGGCAGGTAAGTCCCTGGTGCTTTGGGTTTTTGCTGCCACATGAAGAATAGGATTAGAAAGGAATAATTGGGATTGACATATATACACTCTTGATTCCATGTGTAAATAGGTAACTAATGAGAACCTGCTGCATAGCACAGAGAACTCTTCTCAGTGCTCTGTTGTGACCTAAATGGTAAGGAAATGCAAAAAAGAGGGGACATGTGTATACATACAGCTGATTCACTTTACTGTACAGCAGAAACTAATACACTTATTTACACTGCAGTAAAAATTAAAAGAAAAATCTAATAAGAAAAAAGAGTTGCTGTGTGTGTGTGTGTGTGTGTGTATATATATAACAGAAATGGGTTACATATTTTCATTAAAATACGTGTACAACTTATTCATAATACCACAAATGGAATAACCTGTGTTCAGAGTAAGAAAATGGGAAAATAAATTATGGCATAATCACATAACATACTACGCAGCAATAAAAATTAATGAACTATAACTACATTTAAAAACAGATATGAATTGTCACAAACCTAATGTTGTAAAAGATACAATACTGTCTGTATCATGTAATTCTATTTATGTCAAATTCAAAATAGGCAAAATTCATCTATAGTGTTAGAAGTCAGAAGTGCGCTTATCCTTGGAGACGGGTCATGACTGAGGGAAGCTTATGAGGAACTTCTGGCACTCTAGTGAGGTCTCAGTTCTTGAACCCAGTTTTGCTTACATTTGTGTGTTCAATTTGCAAAAACTGTTTTGATCTTTATTTTCATGATTTGCCTGCTTTCTCCCTGGTATGTTATCAATTAAACAATTGCTTGCAAAATTTAAAATAAAGGGCTTAGATTTCACCTGTATTCTGCGCTATCCCAGGTAAGACTACTAAAGTAATTAATCTGATTCCTTACTGAAGAAAGGCACCATTATATTAATGCTGTTATCTCTGAAACTGAATCTCCAATATTTGGTACCAACTGTGGGGATGGTGGGTAGATGGCTAGTTTTAGTACTGTAGGCCACGACAAAACTGCAGTCAGAGGTGGTATTATCTCAGAATGCTATTAACGCTTGTGTTTTGCTTAATGGTCTTGATTTTCCTTTATTTTGCCTGTTACACAGCTTACATTTGATCCCTAGTCTGAGCAACTGGGTGACAAAGCTGGTCTCCCTGCTGAGTTTGATTGTTTAGTCTACAGTGAGATGTCCTTGTCGTCTCGACTTCCATGAAAAATTGACCCAATAAGCACCTGGCTCTACAGTTTTCCCACTTTTTGGGCTTGGGATTGCATTTTGCATTTGTATTGTATTTGGTTGCCAAACACCTCTACATACCTGACCCAGGGATATTACAGAAGAGTAGACCAAGATGGTAAAGGTCATGAAGGGTAATTAGGCTTGTATAGTCAGGCCACTCAAGATGGCTACTCTCTTGCTCTGTGTATATCCCCTGCTAGGCTGGGCTCTGCTTCACTTACATCCTACTCACATGAACTGCTTGCCACCTGCTCTAGCTAGTGATTGTTGTAATCCTTAGGCCAGAACAGTGCCACCTACTATTTATTAAAGGGAAATCTCTGCCCTCGTGAAGCTCCATAACCTGAGAGTCTGAGAGGGACACACCCCACCTTCTGATTTCCCTGGTAACTGATGAGCCAACCTGATGTCAATTCCCAGTATAAGTGGTAGCTGCCATCTCCTCCCCTGAGTAGTGAAGATGGCTGCTATAGCATACCTACTTGCCAGCCAGTCAGCCAGCCAGCCAATGTGGGGTGTTACTCCAAGATGTTTAGCTTCAAATTTGTAAGATCTCTTATCCAATAAGCTGTTGATGTCTCTGTCACTGTCTGGGCTCTTTCTTTGGTTTCAAGGCTGGGCAACTCCAAATCTTACACACCTGCATGGTGAAGCCCAACACCTTTTCTCCTTTCCTCTCCCCACTGATAAACACTAATTTGTTTTCTTTACCTGTGTAGAATTTGTTTCTGTTTTGCTATATACATTAATTTATTTTTTTTTAGATTCCACATAAAAGTGGTATACAGTATTTGTCTTTTGCTCTGACTTATTTCACTAAGTATAATGTCCTCTAGGTTTATCCATGTTTCTGCAAATGGTTGAATTTCATTCTTTATTTATGACTGAGTAATAAAAAATTGTGGATATATACACTTATCTTAATCCATACATCTGATGAACACCTGGATTGCTTCCACATATTGGCTGTTGTAAATAGTGCTGCTATGAATATGGGGTGCATGTATCATTTTGAATTAGTGATTTCATATTTTTTCAGGCATGCATCCAGGAATCAGTTGGTGCATTGTGTGATAGTTCTTTTAGTTTTGGGGAACCTCCATACTGTTTTCCATAGTGGCTGAACCAGTTGACATACCCACCAACAGTGTACAGGGGTTCCCTCTTTTCTCCATATTCTTGCCAGAGTTTGTTGATTTTTTGATAGCCATTCTGACAGGTGTGAGGTGGTATCTCGTTTGCATTTGCTTTTCCCTGATTAGTGGTGTTGAGGATCTTTTTATGTGCCTGTTGGCAACCTGAAAGTCATATTTGGAAAAGTCTGTTTAGATTTGCTGCTCAGTTTTTGATTGGGTGGTCTGCTTTTTGATATTTGAGTTGTGTAAGCTGATATATTTTGGATATTGACCCCTTGTTGGACATATCATTTGAAAATATTTTTCCCATTCAGTAGGTTCTTCTTGATGGTTTCCTTTGCTGTGCAAAACTTAAGTTCAATTATGTCCCATTTGTTTTGCTTTTCTTTTGCCTTAGGAGACAGCAATATTTTTCACCTACAGTTTGTCAGTGTTCTGCCTATTCTCCTTTAGGTGTTATGATTTCAGTTCTTACACTTGCATCTCTAATCCATTTTGGGTTTATTGTATGCTGTGTGAGGGAATGTTCTAATCTCATTGTCATATTTAGCTGTACAGTTTTCCCAGCACTACTTACTAGAGACTTATCCATTGCATATTCTTCTTTTCAGTTTTTCCTCTTTAAAAAAGTATATTGTCTATAGTGATCATTTCAAAATTTACAACTTTTAGTTGTACCATGAGTTTTTAAGTGTGTTTGGACTTTTAAAATGTCTTTTAATGTAAGAAAAAAAGAAAACAAAAACCTTTAAAACTGATTTAAAGAACATTCTGAATACACTTGCTACCCCTCTTGTATACTTGGGGCAGATATTAATCGGTTTTCAGACTATTTGTTGATAAGTCTACATTTAGCTATAGAATGCTTCATAACAGTCTCAAGCCTGCAACTATCAATTCTTGAGATTTCTATAATAAAAGAATCACTTGACAAGCCCAGTTTAAAGCTCTATTTGTTTAGGACTGAAGTAAATTAATAAAAAAATTATACAAAACTCACTTCAAAAGAGGGGGCATATAGATAACTGCAGGGGCATTACTTTGTGACATGAGAAAAATACTATTTGGAGCTTTTAGGGATTGTTTTCTTAAGAGCTGAAATTCCAAATATTAATAGAATTTGAGCTGAACATAAGTGTTATACTAGGATAATAAGGTTTCAACTAATTGATTCTGAAGACAGACAATAGAGTTGGGAACAGATAAGATAGAGCATTGCTGTTATTACTAACATCCTTTTAACATTTAGTTTTCCAGTTTTGTTCCTATTTTCTCTTTCTTCCTGGTTCAATCTGGGGAGTTAATACCTTTCTAAGAATTTGTCCATTTCTTCTAGCTTGTCCATTTTATTGGCATACAGTTGCTTATAGTAGTCTCTTAGGGTTCTTTGTATTTTCTATGGTGTCTGCTCTAACTTCTTCTTTTTACATTTATGATTTTATTGATTTGAGTTCTCTTTTTTTCTTGATGAGTCTGGCTAAAGGTTTATCAGTTTTGTTTATCTTTTCAAAGAATCAGCTTTTACTTCCACTAATTTCTTCTACTTTCTTCTTTTGTATTTCTGCTCCAAATTTAATGATTTCTTTTCTTCTACTAACTTCGGGTTTGCTGTTCTTTCTCTAGTTGCTTTAGGTGTAAGACTAGGTGGTTTTGAGGTTTTTCTGGTTTCCTGAGGGTCTCTCTTAGAACTGCTTTGGCTATATCCCACAGGTTTTAGATTGCCATACTTTCATTGGTCTCTAGGTATTTTTTAATTTCCTCTATGATTTCTTCAGTGTAGTTTTTTAAAGCATGTGCAAACGTTACTTTTGTGAAAATTTAGATTTATAATGGCTAGTAGTATGAGTATGAGGGGCTTCCCTGGTGGCTCAGATGGTAAAGAATCTGCCCGCAATGCAGGAGACCCGGGTTCGATCCCTGGGGCAGGAAGATCCCCTGGAGAAGGGAATGGCAACCCACTTCAGTATTCTTGCATGGAGAATTCCATGGACAGAGTCTGGTGGGCTACAGTCCATGGGGTCACAAAGAGTCAGACATAAATGAGAGACTGAGCATGCACACACAGTATGCATATTATCTCTTTATCTAAATTAAATGTTTTTTTCTCAATGTTAATACTCACTGCAGCATACTAGGTGGTCCCTAGAACCCTCAGAGAGTAATGTACATCTCTAAATACATGAACGGGAGGGGAGATTGAGTTACCGGGGGGCCTCTGGTCTATTAAGCAGAAGGAAACACTACCAAATAAATGGTCTAAAAACTAGAAAGAGTTTGTGTGCTCTCTCTGAGACTATTAAAATTAAATAATGGACTGAACAGATAACTGCACCTGTTACATATTCAAAATTTTGTTTGGAGAGGGAAATTTCTGCAATAAAGACTCAGATGTTATGTCCAGTCACAAATAGCATTGGGAGTTTTTCTGAACCTTTGAATAAATAGACGTTTACTGTCTGCTGAAACTTGTGAAAAGTTATAAGGTAAAGACAATTATAAATGGAACAAAATAAGAATGTAGAAAGATCCAAGGAATTCATGGACAAGAAAAGGTATATTCAATTATTACTTCATATGGTAATCAGCATTAAATGTTAAATTTAAAATTTATAGGC